GAATAGCTGCCGCACCATCTGGGGGCCAGAGGGTGGAGCAGGGAATAGCTGCAGCACCATCTGAGGGCCAGAGGGTGGAGCAGGGAATAGCTGTCGCACCATCTGGGGGCCAGAGGGTGGAGCAGGGAATAGCTGCTGCACCATCTGGGGGCCAGAGGGTGGAGCAGGGAAAAGCTGCCGCATCATCTGGGGGCCAGAGGGTGGAGCAGGGAATAGCTGCCGCATCATCTGGGGGCCAGAGGGTGGAGCAGGGAATAGCTGCAGCTGGGGACGCAGCTTTACAGTTGCCGGTGTTGCTGTTGTGGGCGAGGCCTTCCTCTTTACCTTTGCCTGGCCAACGGTGCTACTTGGAAGGATGTATGATAATGTGCCTTCATGAATGTGCCTTCATGCAGATCAAGATCCCTCCGCTTCGCGTCAGGCTCCTGATCTGCCTGTCGGATGATCTTTTCCCCATAATGACCGCCTCGCTCCACATTATCCCGCTTATTACATGGCCACATTCTCAACAAAGTAACGACATGAGTCCCAATATTAATTGAAATGCTTTTATTGATTTAGAAAATGTTTTGAATGATTAAAAACATAGTTGTAACTGATTTAAATGACATTCATCCGCTAAGAAAAATAGTCCTTTGTTGATGTTTGAACTAGGCTGTTGCAACGGCAGGAACTGCTTCGATAGCAACTAACTCTGTGCATGTTAGCATTTGAGCCTTAGCTTAATTAACATTAACCTGAACGTTTCCATTAATAGTGCAATGTGACATGGTGAATGGGAAATCTTTAGGGATATTCAGATCGACGTTTCTGTCCTCGATCCTCTCTCCTTGCGGGGGTTTAGCAGATAACACATCTGAAAGCACAATTACCAACATGTAAAAAAACGGGAAACAATATTGCCACAGTTGTATTGCTACCGCTAAGGTGTGTGTAAGGACAGACAACTAGGTAAGGCACTGACCCGATGTGGTGCTATTTCCTGTGTTGGAGGACAGGATGTTGCTCTATTTCTCCCTTTCAGTTATTGATGGAGCCCAGTAACCCTTCAGGCTGCTCTCGCACCTGTGCCCAGTCACAGACATGATCTCTTTTGATCCAAGACCAGCCTGAGAGAGCAGTTTGCTATGGTTTGTGTAGCGCTTTGAAAGCTGGGCTGCCTGGCTTATTGTGGGTAGCATTTGCCCAAGGAAATGATGTCCCATGGGCTCACGTGAATACCACACTGATTCACCGTTGAGAAGCTGTTGGTCCTTTTTTAGTGGGTGAAGGTAGAAGGCTTTGGCGTCAGATGGGCACAGGGAAACATACTTTTTGAAGCTGGCAACGGGCAATTTTGGTTTTCAGCCTCGGCGAAAATAAAACCTCTGTCATTCTCTTTATACGTGTCTTTTGGACCTTTATGATTTTTGGTATTGGCGTTGTGGGCAAGAGATATATATTCGCATCCGTGATCATCAAGTTTCAAAATAAAAGAGCTTTGATTCAAATATCGATTTCCCTCTCTGCCTCGTCTGGCAAGATGCAGTTGGACATCCATCCACAATTTCCGGAAAAGTCCGCCGGCTGTGTCCACAGATAGCGCCTGTGAAGCCCTGAGCAGCCGCAAATCCGCAGCTGAGATAGGCGGGTGCAGCGCCATATAGACTGAGAGTTACGTCATCTCCGTTCACTCCAATGGACCACTTTTTTACAGCAATGGCGGATCGTGGAGCCTCTCAATCGTTCCCCGGAGGTTAGCGCCAATGCTAACAGAGCTGTAGAGTTGCAGCTTAATAGCCCGTTCGTGACGGACTTTTAAAGGTAAGAAGAAGTTTAAAGATTTATATTGCGGATATTATCAGTACATCTGATTCAAATTAACATGTGTATTAAAGGATGTCAGTGGATTATCCCTAAATTAGTAGATTTAGGGAACGTTTACAGATAACAGATTAAACTAGGATACCATACCATAGTACCATACACTATACCATAGTGGTTGAATACACAGTATTAGGAAACACTTTATACTTACTGGACATGTTATACTCATTACATACTGTATATAAAATATGACCAAGAATGTGAGACAACTTTATAGAAATTCATTTCACATCTGTTACTGATGCCATTTGTCATACTTTGTTAAACTCACAAATAATAAAGTTCCATAACTTCAGTTGGGAACAAAGACCACACCTTATCTCCCCAAGGCAATTTCCCATCCAATAGGTGTGCTATATAGGTGTGTATAACCCTTTCTCCTGTCTGTTACTCCCTCTTTCAGCACAAGAACCAGAGGGGGATTCAATGGAGCCTGAATACCTGCATTGAGACCCTCACCCTGCACCCTGAGTCTCAACTCTCAGTGTTTTTCAAGCCTTTCCCTATTTTTTTGTATTAAACAAAACATTAAGCTTTCCCAATGGTGTGGTTTTCGTTTTGTGAAAAAGTGCAAATGCAGTGTTTGTATATAATAACCTCACATATTTTGTTGCTGTTGGTCGTGAAATTGCTCCTGCTGACTTGAGCCAGCCATTTTTTCCTGCGCTCTGTCAGTGGGGAAGCCGTACATTCGTACTCC